CCCAGGAAGATTAAGTGACAAAGGGCATGGAAATGACCTTTGCACACAGCCTGGTATATCCTGGCAGTGGCATCTCTTCTTTTTATTCTCCTTTGCATTCCAAATCTGCCCTAGGGGCAATTCCAGGAAAGTTTCAGAGAGGAAGTGATCTGTGAACCCAATCCTGAAGTTACCGAAGTCACACGAAGTCACACCATAGTAGGTGCAAAGGAGGTGCCACCAGGTGAGAATAATTCCAAATGGCTGTGACAAATAATGTGTTGAGAGTTAATCTGTTTTTATGGAATGCCATATGGCCTGACGATGGTGGGAAAATGTAACTCCACTGTATTATACTTTGATTTGGGACCAAGATCACCATCAATGATGCCAGGCTGAACCGCATCTCAGTTGGAGCATAGATTGGAAGAAATGCTGTTTAGTTGAAATTGTGAGTGGAAATTAGGCCTTGAGTCATCGCAGATACAGTGCCCAAAGTGGCATTTCACATTGGGGAATACCTCCATTTCTCAGCAAGCCTCCCTCAGCTCCTGCGTGGTTGAAAAAGATGCCATCTGTGGCTGAGCAAGAGATCAAATATTATATCTAGGGGCTCCATGGAATGGAAAGTTGGTATTCTGGAATGTTCTATCACTGTGAGGGTGGTGAGAAATGGTGCATGGGACTTGGGACTCCCTGACCAGCAGATTTAGGTCTCCCAGCTCAGGCTCACTCCCTCACGGGTGGAATAGTGGTACTATTTAATTTCTCTTTTCGTTCTTCCCTCCCTTTCACAGGTAGAGTTTAATTCACTCAAGTAATATGCTTATATGGTGGGACCTCCACGTGGACTTTTTGTTTTTTCTGCTGCTGGTGATCTGATTTTAAATGGGAATACGTCATTGCTAAGAGTTTTTGTTTGTCTGGATTATTCTCGGTGGAAAATTTCTTAATGTATACTTTATTATTTAGCCCCTGGCAATTTACCAATAGCAGCAAATCTCATTCGTTGTTATTGTTTGGAGGAGCAGACTATTTTTATATTTTTCAATTAAAAGTGGCTCTGACATTTTCAATGGCAGAGGGAAATTTGATGAGCTGGTGTCCTGTGATAGCTGGTCTGAATGTCATGTGATTGTGCTAATTGCCATAGAGGTATAGTATTACCTGTTTTCTGAGGGGTAGGGGGACTTAGTTTCCCTGAGATTGCATAATTATTAGTTCACTAGGACTACAGACAGGTTAAAAGAAGAGTTGGAGAATATGCCCTTCACCTTCCTTCCAGTGCAGGGAACCTTCTACAAGGTTCTGAACAGATGTACTTGGTCATAGTAATAAGGACTAGAGCTCAGTTAAGTTCTTTCCACAAAACCATGTGGAAAATATCGATGGAAGTGGTAATGTGCTTAGCACTGGGGTGTCTTTTTATTTATGCATTTATTTTTAAAGATTTTTATTTATTTGTCAGAGAGAGAGAGAGAGAGTGAGTACAGCAGGGGGAGTGGCAGGGAGAGGGAGAAGCAGGCTCCCCGCTGAGCAAGGAGCCTGATGCGGGGCTCCATCCCAGGACCCTGGGATCATGACCTGAGCCAAAGGCAGAAGCTTAACCGACTGAGCCACCCAGGCGTCCCTGGAGTGTCTTTTTAAAAACAATCCTAGGGGCGCCTGGGTGGCTCAGTCGGTTAAGCGACTGCCTTCGTCTCAGGTCATGATCCTGGAGTCCTGGGATCGAGTCCCACATCGGGCTCCCTGCTCGGCAGGGAGTCTGCTTCTTCTTCTGACCCTCTTCCCTCTCGTGCTCTCTATCTCTCATTCTCTCTCAAATAAATAAATAAAATCTTTAAAAAAAAATAAAATAAAAACAATCCTAAAACCACCCTAATAGAGAGAACACTAGCTCATACCCATTTGCAGGTGAGGAAACACACAGAGAGAGTTGGTAGTTTTAACCTAGAGTTGTCTAACTCAGCAGCCAGTGGTCTTCTGTTTTGCTTGACCTTTTCTGCTCTGGTGGAGTTGTGGGACTGCTGGTGTTTGAGATGATTATAGACGCAACCTGGATGACTATTTTAACAGTCATCTATTTTAATATATATGAGGAAAAAACCCACAGAGTGACAAACCTCCTGGTTTCTTGGATCGTATCACATAGGGTGAAGCTAAATTCATTTCAGTAAAATATGTAAGAAAAATATTAAATAGATAATAATGTGGGGGGGGTTTGTGACTATGGCGTACATGATGGTGGTGGTACCCGCATGAAGTAATTTCAGTGATGTATCTGTTTGCAGACACCAGACTTTTGTTAATGTGGCACTGCTGATCAGAGGGTTCTTTAAGAACGAGTGGTGGTGGTGGGGGGTGTCTCCTTGCCTGCACCTCTTTCCCAGAGTTCTCTTTGCTCCCCCTGCAGTCACACGCAGGGGATCTGCATGCATCTTGCTCATTGCCTTTGGTCTTGTCTTCTCCAGGTTTAACGCCCCCAGCCATCTCACTGATTCTCTGTGTGCCTTGCTCCGTCCTGCCCTAGTCATTCCTTACTGATGATATTTCTTCTAAGGTGGGCATCCCACATGAGCTCCGATTTCCTCCTGGGAGCTCTGGCAATGCTACTTCTGTAATGATGACCTTCTTTAGCAGATGCTCCAAGGTCGACCTCCCTTCCATTGCCCCCAACTCTCGATGTTTTTCTCATGAACCACTCACCTCGGTTTTCTCATCAGTAAGATGGAGAGAGAACATGAATGTAAAGTAGACTTAACACAGTGTTTCCTATGCACAAGTATTGTTGCTACCATCAAGTCACTTCTTTGCTCTTATGGGTCATATTCTCTGATTATGGCTTCTTCAATATGAATGAGTCAACTGTGACTTGAAAATTTACAGATTTAGGACTTTTGGCCTCATAGTGAAAGGACCCCTTCCTGATTCCCTTTATCAGTTTTTCCTTTTGAATTAAAAAAAAAAGGGGATGTTTTATGTTTTCTCACTTTCAAGTTCAGTTTCTCTCTTCTCCTTTTTTATTTTTTATTTTTTTGGGTGATGGTTAAAGTTAATATTTAAAAACAATTATGTACATGTGATATAAAATAAATCTATGTAGCTGAAAGTGTCCCACAGGTTTTCCTCGCATTTTTAGTTGACCCATTCACTTTAGAAGTCTTTAGGATATTATAGTTAAGACAGTTTGCTGCGTGTTATGTATATTTTACACAGAAAAATTATACTTAACAGCATATTAAATTCTTTTTAAACCATAGAGTAAAACATTTTCTAAATTTTAAAAATTCGGGAAAAAGGTGTTTAAGGCACTTTAAATTTGAGAACTTTATCTTCATGTGTTCTGTGTTCTCAGTTTATTTTTGCAGCAATAATGATTTCAGCTGTGTTTAGTATTAGCGTGTTGGAACAGTGGACTAATTTGTGCAGTGTATTTAGAGCCTTTTATTCAATAAGAATCACGTATGTCATGCCTGGATTTGTAATTACCCAGCATGGTAATTAATATACAGTATTTAGATTCTAGGCAACAATGCATTGTATATATTGGCATCCTTTAGGTGGTGTCAGAGTCTCTGAATTTGGGCAAAGTATGTAACTTTTGAGCCATTGTTTCCTCATTTATCAAGTGGAATAATTAGACCCTTTCTTCTTGTAAATCACAAGGGTGTTAGTAAAGGTAACGTGAAGAGAATCATTGTATCAATGTGGTTTTGGCAAAACCATGTTCAGTGTGAACATGACCTGTCATCCTGGAGACTTTGAACCTTAGTCCTTAGATCAGTGCTTCAAAATTTTTTTGACCCTCTCATTTGATGTTAAGTGCAGTGTGGTATAGTGTTTAGGTATTTTTGAGAATACTAAAGCACTTGCTGAAATAATTGATGAGAGCTGGAATTTCACTGAATTAGACCTATCAGTCAGTACGCTCAACACAGAAGAATCTCACGTTCCATGTATTTTATGCAGGGTTTTGCACTTTAAGCAAAAAGTAAAAGTGTAGTGAGGGGAACAGTGATTGCTATGAGACCAGATTTTTCTTTGCCAATAGGGGACCTAGTGAGAGTGTATCAGATGAGGTGTTAGCTTAAAGAGGAGAACAAAAAGAATGCTGGGGACTACTAACTCTCCAAGATTCTCTGGTCCTTGTTTACAAGCTCTATTTACTCCTTTTACTATTTACTCCCTCTATTTTACTCCTTTTACTCCTTTTCTGGAAATACTTGAAATTTTGATGTTTGATGATGTCCCTTACCTGCTCCAAAGCCCTTGGGAGCTGCTGCTTTTTGCTTGGCATCCAAATCCTGTACTGTGGCTCCTTTTCCAGCCTCCCTCCCTGACACCTAGGCCCAGTTCTACTTACTGTTTCCTCTGTGAGTACCAGGTGTTAGGGCCTTCTGCATGGAATGTTCTTTCTCCCCAGTGATGTCTACTAAAGTCCTGGTCATCTGGTTTTTTCATGAAACCTCTCATGGTCTTTCCTCAGTCTTAAGCAGGTTTTTTCTCTTCTTGGGACTACTCTGTGGGAAGAACCTGGTGGCTTGACCTGGATTCAAATTCCCATCCATGTGTTTCCCCGAGGAATGATCTTGGATGGGTCAGTTGATGTTCTTAGAGCCTTAAAACACCTAACTTCCGTGAGGCAGGATAGCTGGAGAACTTCCCACGGGCCTGGCCTTAGGTTCTCTCTCCAAGCATTGGTGTTTTACCTCCTCTTTCCCTAATGGTTTTTACATTTACTGTTGTGTTAGAGTATTGTTTTTGTCGTATTTTGTTTGAGTAAATTACAGACTTATGGAAGAAGATCATGTCTTGTCTTTGTTTCTCCAAAAATGCCTAGCACAGTGCATTTACAAAAATGGATGTTTTCCCGATCTCCGTAGATTCAAGTTGGTCTGGAGTTATTCTGGTTAGGGGATGGTACTGGAGAGCTCTTGTGTTCAAAGGGCCTACTTCCTCTTTTTCATCCTTGTATTTCTGTCTTCTCTTCATCTTTTCGCTTCCATTTTTACTTCCTTTAGTACTGAGAAAGCACCAAGCTCACTTCAAAGAGTTGACTTCAAAGCCCCCTTGGCCAAGAATTGCTCGACACTGAAGCCCATAGGAGTTGGCGTCAATGGAAGACCTTGTGTCAGTTGCATTTAAGAGTTTCTTGGGACTTCTATTTTTATAATCATTTTTAAGGGGCAAGGGGGGAGGGTTCCAGAAACATCTGCTTCTTAAAAAAAAAAAAAAATCAAACATAAGCCAGTGTGATTCCAAAAAAAGTTAAGATATCTTAAAAAAAATGAAAGTGATTTTCTAATTGGTGGGAATGAGTAAGTCTTTTCTTAAATTGCTTTTTCTGTTTTGCCCTAGTTACAAGGGCTTAGGACAGAAATATAGTCTTAACTTTTTCCAAGATGGCTAATGGGGTTGCAGGTTATGCAGCAGAAAACAGGGGTTGGGCCTCGTGAGACCTCACACTCAGCTCTCCTTTGAGCTATGCGTGTGGGCTGAAGGAGAGGAGGGAGATTACAGACCAGTGCTGTTCCACCATGGACACTTTGATGCTCTTGTTTGTTGACTTTCTGAGGCTTGGAATGACTGACTCTTCCAGGAATGAGAAGTGGAATCCTCCTAGTTTCTATGGTAGTCCCCAGATATATTTACTGAAGGTCCTACTGTGTGTTTCAGCACCTTGCCAGATCTTTCTGACAGCCTTACCGAGCATGCTCTGGAGCCACCCCGACAGCCTTACTGAGCATGCCCTGGAGCCAACCCAACAGCCTTACCCAGCATGCTCTGGAGCCAACCCAACAGCCTTACTGAGCATGCCCTGGAGCCAACCCAACAGCCTTACTGAGCATGACCTGGAGCCAACCCAACAGCCTTACCCAGCATGCCCTGGAGCCAACCCAACAGCCTTACTGAGCATGCCCTGGAGCCAACCCAACAGCCTTACCCAGCATGCTCTGGAGCCAACCCAACAGCCTTACTGAGCATGCTCCTGAGCCAAGCTCTTCATGATCTGACTTTTGCCACCTGTCCAGTCACACCCCACCCTGCTCCAGCCCATGCCTTTGTGCAAATCTTTCCAGCCTGCTCCCAGACCCTTATGTCTTATTGCCTTGATGAATCCTTACTCTCCTGGTTTAGGGATTAATCCTTTATGGAGCCTTCTCCTGATTTTCCCTCAGCTGGTTGCTTTGTTCTCCAACATGACCTCATGAACATCAACTAGAACGTTCATTTTATTCTTCAATAATTACCTATTTACACTTTGCTCCTTGCAAATTGTAAGCCGTTTGAGGGCTCCGTGAATGGCATAAACAAGTGCTGTAGGAATTGAGACTCGGTGGAGGTTAGGTTCTCAGGGGAGAGATCTGACTCAAGTCTGTGAAGATAGATACAGTTTATTTGTAAAACAGAAGAGGATGGGCTTAGACAGTTCAGGCTATGAGGAGACAAGGGTGGAAATATATCTTGTTGCCCAAGTGAGACAGGCCTCAAATGGCAGCCAAGATGTTTGGCCATTTGTACAAGGGTTGTCAAGAGGATTAAAGAGGGGTTTTTAGGAAGATCTACCGGGCTAGTGGCAAGCAGGATGGATTTAAGGGTGAGTGGGAGGGGCCACGAAGGCCAGGTAGGAGAACGTTGCTGAGGTCTGGGAACGAGGTGACGAGGGTGCGGATCTGGGGGCACCGAACTATGTTCTGCCGCCTGTTTCTGTACAGCCAGAGAGCTGAGAAACGGTGCTGTGACATGTGGAAATTATATGAGATTCAAATGTCAGTGTCCGTGAATAAGGTTTTGTTGGAACATAGCCGCACATATTCATTTACATGTTGTCTGTGGTTGCTCTCGCACAGCCTGTCACCCTCGAGGACTTGCAGCGGAGACAGTGCGGCCTGCCGAGTATTTACTACCCGTCCCTTTACAGAGTAGGTTTGCTGACCCTGGTGTGGACCGACCAGGGTGAGTGAGAATGTGAATGGGGAGGAAGGGACAGGCAGGGTCAAGGGACAGTTTAGAGGACGAAGCAATGTAGGAGAGTTTTCCCAAGTCATTGCTCTGCCCTTCTGTGTAACTCCATGTCTTGGAGGTGGTGCTCTAGATGTAGGCATCCCTAGGCAGAGGAGTGTGGGAGGGCAAAAGGGTTTTGCTTTTGTGATGGGGGTGCCTGGGCTAGTCTCTCTCTCTCTCTTTTTTTTTTTTTTTGGCTATTTTTTTTTTTTTCCTTAACGATTTATTTATTTAAGAGGGCAGGGAGAGCAGGTGTGGGTAGGGGCAGAGGGAGAGGGAGAGAATCTCAAGCAGACTTCCCATTAAGCATGGAGTCCAATGCCGGGCTCGATCCCATGACCCGTGAGATTATGACCTGAGCCAAAATCACGAGTTGGATGCTTAACTAACTGAGCCACCCAGGCGCCCCTGAGCCTGGGCTCGTCTTAGAGTAAAGCTGGACCAGTTGGGTGGCTCCAAGTCCAGTGTGGGCTCCTCATGCCCTGACCAAAGACAGCTTGCTGTCGGCTGAGGGGCTGGACAAGACGGGAGTGAGGCCAAGAGGCCCGCACCTGACTGACTGGGGGCTTTTGGGGGACAACTGTGTTCTGCAGGGAGGGCAGGAGTAGTAGAAGGGCTGTCAGGGAGGCCACCTTCTACCCCCTGAAGCTTCCCAAGGGTGTGTTTGAGTGTGACCTGGGCAGTTGGAGCTCTTTGGGGCTGGTGTTGACGCTTCTTTTCCCTGCCTTTGGGGGTGAGAGAGGAAGCTGATGACTCCCTTTACCCCAGTGAGGAGGAGGCTGGGAGGCCAACTTCCCTGCTGTCCCGTGCCTGCTTGGGGGCAAGTGTCACTCACAGAGCTCTTTGAATATGAGCAGATATAAAGAAGGAGAATGGGATGGAAAGGGAGGTCCAAAGGAAAACAAAATAGCCGCAGGCATGGCCCCAGTCAGGGAAAAGGCATGACGTTCACCCAGCCTTAGAAATGCCGGCTGGGATCTCAGGCGCCATGAGCCAGAGAGAACATGCCCGTCAGTCCAGGGCAGATCCTGGGGACTGACAGTCTCTTACCACTTTCAGAAAAGTGTTTGTTGCCAGAGGAGACTTCAGGGAGGGTCTGGTCTAAGCGTCTTGTTTTGCAGGGAAACCCGAGGCCCCAGATGGATGGATTTACCAAAGCTGGTTGGTGATGGAACTGGGCCTTTTAGGATTATTGCTAAAGAATTCCTAACTTTTTTTCTTTTAAGATTTTGTTTTTATTTATTTGACAGAGAGAGACACAGCACGAGAGAGAACACAAGCAGGGGGAGCGGGAGAGGGAGAAGCAGGCTTCCTGCGGAGCAGGGACCCCGATGCGGGACTCGATCCCAGGACCCTGGGGTCAGGACCTGAGCCGAAGGCAGACGCTTAACCATCTGAGCCACCCAGGCGCCCCAAGAATTCCTAACTTTTTTGAATGCGTGCCATTTGCCAGGCTCATGCCAGAGGCTTTTTAGGCAGGTTTGGCCTTCTTGACAACCTTGGGAAGTAGCTACTGTCCCTATTTTATAGATGGGGAAGGTGAGGCTTGAAAAGGCTGATCTGCCCACGACCAAAAATGGGAAATGGCAATCAGACCCTCCTCAGCCTCACTCCAGGGCCTGTGTTCTTAAGCAGTAGGCGCACAGACAGCTGTTCTGAGCGACTTCCTAGCTCCTATTCCCACAGTGTCCGATCCCTTGTCTGTTTCTGTTCATTCACTAAAGTGTACTGAGTACCTGCGAGATGTCAGGAGGATACCGGGTTAGGCGAGGACAGGAGGAACACCATCTTGGTTTTGGCCAAGCCAAAGGGAATGCCAAAGCCAGCCGGGACAGAGAATGATTGTTACATAGCATCCCCCTCACCACCTTCTTGGTCTCAGCTCCAAGATCCCCTTGTCTGTGAAGCTGCCTCTGACCCCTCAGGCAGGTTGAATTTTCCCAGGTTTGGGCTCCCATGGTATCCCATGCTCTTAGCATTCACAGTGTACTACTGTCTTCCTTGGACTCTAAGGAAGACAATTTATCTTTGTATCCCACTTCATGAGCGCAGTGCTGGGCATATCGGGACACTGGGCAGATGTTGAGTGAGTGAATGAATGAATGAAAGAATGCAAACTCGATTGTCAGTGGTTCTCCAACTTTATTTTGCAAAAGAATCACTAGAGGCACTTGTTAAAGGTTCACATTCCTAGTACTACCCTGGTGATTGCTCCCAAGGTGCGATAAGACCCTAGAATCTGGAGTTCCCTGAAGCAGCTAGGTGTTTCTGATGCAGGTGGTCTGCAAGCCACGCTTGGAGCGACTCTGGTACAGGTGCCAGGCTTTCTGGAATAAAGACAGGAACCAAACATTAAAAATAGCACTCCATTCATCTGCTTGTGTTGGGACGCCAAGTGCCCCCTCATGCTGATGACAGGTCCGGATGTGGGTCAGTTCTCAGCGCAGGGAAAATGAACAGTGTCTTCTCCGTGGTGTCCAGAACAGTCTGAGTCAGTGGAATGTGCCGGCCAGTCAGGCAGAAGGGAACTTCTCCTTCTTTTTTAAACCTTGGTGGGAACTGTGTTGGCAAGGCACACTGGGGGGAGAGGAAGCTCGATGGGGGTTTGGGGTTGGCTGACATCGAAGGGCTGGTTGTACTTTGGGTGGCCGCTGAGGGCCATTGCTATATATGCCCCTTTCCTCTTGAAATAGTCACTTCCCTGGCGGGGTTGTGTGTTGGTTGGCTGCCACAAATGCCTGGTTGTTGTTCAAGGAGGCCTCCTGGGATGTTAAAAAAGAGAGAACTGGGCCGGGCTTGGGCCAGGGCTTCTCAGGAAGACAAGAGAGCTGGCTTTGCCCCGTCACACCTCTGACTCATTGTGAGATTCAGAGGGAGTGGCTTTGGGGCCTTGGGCTGGCTTTTCCATCTGTAGAATGAGGTGGGGGGTGAAGGGGCAGAGTAATAAAGCTTATTTCTTCTCCTGAAAGGGTGTTTCGAGGCCAGGATTGAACACAGGGCTCTGTTGTTGGTCTGATGCTATTGATGAAGGCTCAGGAAGCTTGGATTTTGGTGTTAACTCTTTTAGGGTACATGGGGCAAATAGTGGCAAGTATCTCCTTTTTGTGCTGATGGCAGCCCTCTAGAATATCAGCTCCAGGGGGCAGGGATGAAGTCTTTTTTCCTCACCTCTGGGTCCCCACTGCTTAGAACTGGTCCTGGCACAACAGTAAGCCTCCATAAACATTTATGGAGCTCATAGCTGCAAACACTTGGTGCCTACTAAGCATCAGGCCCCATGTCTCAGATTCATAGATTTGCTGTTTCAGAGGGGGATATGACGAGCAGGACATTTTTTTTTTTTTTAAGATTTTATTTATTTATTTGAGAGAGAGAGAGAATGAGAGAAAGCACGAGAGGGAAGAGGGTCAGAGGGAGAAGCAGACTCCCTGCTGAGCAGGGAGCCCGATGTGGGACTCGATCCCGGGAC